TAATACTACGTTCCTGCATCTAGTATTTCTGTCATGTGTGTCTCTGGGTCCTTCTACACAGCCATATAACCCAGAATATCAAGGCAGAAAATCCCATAATATCTGCTTTGAACTGAGTTATTTGAGTCCATACTGCCATATATTCCAGTTCAAAACAGATAATGTTTTGAATAATATAATAATATTATTCATTCATTATTCATATTCATAATAATAAGATAATATTCAGCTATGTGGGAGGGGCCTCTTTTTACACTGACACTGTCTCTATCTTTCTGTTTCTATCTTTCTGCTTCTGTTCTATGCTACATTTTATTTACCTTTTCCTTGTGACTAGTCCCCTGAAACACAAACATTCCATTTGACATTTCTAATTTTCAATTTTTATAATTTGATCAATGAGATGTTTATGCACTGTTGATTATACTTATGTCATTGTATTTATACTTATGTATTGTTGTCTCCATGTGGCTCTTGGAGTGCTTCTGTGAGCCACCCCAAGTCCCTTTGGGGAAATGGTGGCGGGGTACAAATAAAGATTATGTATTTCATGCTTCCCAAATAAATTGCTGTGTGACATAAATTTGGTTGTTATCCCAGCTAGGAAAAGCTCAACTGAATCAATGTTTAGGTGCTGTGATATATTGTTTTTATTTCTTTGGCTTTGATAAAAAAACATTCTTAAATTGCCTCCAATTCCACTGACTGTTATACATACCGATATACCTATGTTAACAAAGCCTCTGACAAAGAAGCTCCTCTTTTCACACCTTTTTTTACAGGAGCCCAACACAGCTCCTCCTTTATCTTGTTCTCTGTATAGCTGGGAAAACTTTATGGGTTTTTTTTTTGTTCAGCATTAGCAGTCAGAGGATAATGTGAGAGGGAAGGAGAAAAACAGACTTTTAGTGTTGAGTTGCAGTTGGAATGGGCTTGTTGAACCTAATAAAATGAATGTTCACTAAAGCTATTGAGGAAGATGAAAAGAGGCTACTTAGAACTTTTTTGTATGATACTTTGGATTTATAGAGAGTAGGAAATATTTACGGCCAAATTGCAAAAACAATACTCTCCCCACCCTTCCCAAAGTATCATGAATTTTTTTCAGAATAGATATAGTATATTCTAGATATTTAAGTTTAGGGATAACTTAATAAAGACTATGGTATTTAAAAAATCAGATCATAATGCCATCGTGATATACCTGGAAATTGAACACACACAGTAACCTAATGATCATTCAACCTGAATTTCCTATATTACATTACTATTCAGATTTTGGAAGTCAAACTAAATTATTTCTGATGCTGTTAGATTGCTCTGTTTTAATGATATTTACTATGCTATTATACATTTTCATCCACCTTGTTGAACCAATTACTCTTTAATCTGCCTGTATTTTGCCCCCCCCCCCTTTTTTTTCAAATTAGTTCTTTTGTTGCTTGATGCTTGTTTATTATTGTTATGTTTGTTTTATGCTTTTAAATTGCATTTTGTTATTGCTCTACTTTTAATTGTATGTTCCCTGGGCTTGGCCCCATGTAAGCCGCCCCAAGTCCCTTCGGGGAGATGGAGGCGCGGTAGAAAAATAAAGTTCTTCTTCTTAGATGGAGACTTCATGTATGGTTATTTCTGAAGATGGAACATTATAACAATGTATACAAGAACTGAGGAAATTTTTGAGCTGAACTTAAATAAGAATACAGAATTCATAATATTTGGGGATGCAAGCAACACTTATGTGAGACAACAATTTATAAAATATGGTTCTAAAAAATAAATAAGAATAGCTTAAAAGGGGCCATTGAAAGAAATCCAGTATTTGAAGGGAAAGCAAAAGAAAAAAATTGTCAAAGATACTCAACAAAAGATAAATTTACTCCAACAACAGTTTTCATTGTTTACAGTCTCAAGACATGAATGCTAAGCTTTTATATCTTAAGCAAAATAACTAAATTTCTTAATAAACCCGGGAAGTGGCTTTTCCATAGGTTGAGACATAAATGTATCACAACAGTTTTATTTGTCTTTCAAATGATCTCTATTATAATAAATTGAATATTTTTTTGTGCAATGGCAGAAAGAGATTTTTAGATTTGTATAGTATGCAAAGAGACCCAGAATACAATTTAAGATACTGCATGATGAAAAGTGAAGCTTGGTAGCTCCTAATGTTAAATTGTATTGTGACAACTGTTGCTTTGTATGGTTGAAGGAATAGCTATTGCTTAGCATAGGCATGCCCTATGAGCAATTTTGTTACCTTGCTTCTCTCTATAATATCACAAATGCACATATGCCCAGAGGGAATACAGAATAAAAAATGTGCTGCAAAGGAAGATACCTTTTTGATGGCCTCCATGGTCAGAGACCAGTAATAGGTCAAATAGAATGGCCTTTATCAAACTCAGTTTTTTGGGTTTGGTCTCATTATTACAGGGTTGGTAATCAAAAGTTAATGCTAAATGCATTGTATATATACAAAGTCTTACAAAGATGTTCTTTACAGCAGTGCTTTACAACAAGCAAATTATCAACAGGCCAACACAAGATGAAAATCTTGATAATAACTGCCCATAAGAAGTTATGTATGCAGAGGACATTTTATATTATCAAAGATTACGAATTGACAATAAGCCCATATCTTTAGGCACAGTTAGTTAGTTATTTAGGCAATCCCTCGTAGTCCAAGGATGATTGTCCTCCAAGTTTGGTGTCCTGGGGGTGGGTTCATAGGTGGCTATGGAGCCCTATTCTTGACCTGCATCATCTCCTGCAGTGAGGGCATTGGTTTCCAGGTGGGAGGCAGTCTCGGTCAGGGTTGGCTTGATGCGCCTTCCTCTTGGCACGTTTCTCTCTTTCACCCTCCATTCATGCCTCTTCAAATTCTGCTCCACTGCTGGTCACACCTGACCTCCAACTGGAGCGCTCAAGGGCCAGGGCTTCCCAGTTCTCAGTGTTTATGCCAGAGTTTTTAAGGTTGGCTTTGAGCCCATCTTTAAATCTCTTTTCCTGCCCACCAACATTCTGTTTTCCATTCTTGAGTTCGGAGTAGAGCAACTGCTTTGAGAGACGGTGGTCAGGCATCCAGACAATGTGGCCGGTCCAGCGGAGTTGATGGTGGAGGACCATTGCTTCGATGCTGGTGGTCTTTGCTTCTTCCAGCATGCTGATGTTTGTCCGCCTGTCTTTCCAAGAGATTTGCAGGATTTTCCGGAGGCACGCTGATGGAATCATTCCAGGAGTTGCATGTGACGACTGTAAACAGTCCACGTTTCGCAGGCATATAGCAGGGTTGGGAGGACAATAGCTTTATAGACAAGCACCTTGGTATCCCTACAGATGTCCCTGTCCTCAAACACTCTCTGCTTCATTTAGGCACCATTACTTCATTGATCAGCTGAATGATTAAGATGATTTGGATTCTGATAATTGATGAAGCCATGACTGCAACTATGATACAAATATATATATATTAGTGTTATGAAAATTATAGTTTGTTGATAATGTTATGAAAATTATAGTTTGTTGTTTATTGAGAATCCCCAATAAAGCTCTCTACTGTGTCTTTGCAGAGCTTCATCTTCCAGGAAGAGATAGAATAAATGTTAAATGTCTTTGAGTTTGTACTATAGACAGACATCCTGAATTTACAGTTTTAACAAATCTAATTTTCTATATGGGTCTACTAGTAGAGGCTCGTGACACTGATGTCATTCAGGTGATGAATTCATTCTGGGGATTAGTCTAAACTCCAAAGGAAATATTCAAGTTTTTTTAAAGTTCAAAGTTTCGAATTTAAAGTTCTGTTTAAAATCCAGAGTGGATTAACCATCCAACACTGAAGCTCCAGCCTTCACTGGGATCCCACCCCCCATTTAATCTTTCACGTTTTCTTTGAAATGAACTGTTATGATTAAAATAATATTATAGGTCTATAGAAATTTCGAGAGTAAAATATATTTGACACCACCACAATAAAATGGAGTTTATAAAGAGCAAAAATGCTTCACAGACTAATAAAGAACTCTGAGGGGCCTTCCACACAGCCATATTATTATTATTATTATTATTATTATTAACTTTATTTGTACCCCGCTAGCATCTCCCGAAGGACTCGATGCAGCTTACAAAGGCCAAGGCCTCAATACACAACATAACAATTCAAAACCTAAAGTAAATTAAAAACAATTAAAGCAATATAAACAACAAGCAATAAACGATACTCTAAGACACAATAAAACTGGGCCGGGCCAGAATAATGGGTACAGAATTAAAAGTGCATATAGCCCAGAAAATCAAGGCAGAAAATCCCATAATATCTGCTTTGGATTAGGTAATCTGAGTCCACACTGCCATATATTCCAGTTCAATGAAGATAATGTGGGATTTTATTCAGCTGTGTGGAAGGAGCCAGAGAGGCACATTTGAAATGTTGAGGGGAGAAATCTGAAACAATTTAATTTTGTATTATCTACCTGCATTGTTTCAGTTCTGAAATATTAAAGACTCAGGGCCCTTCCATACAGCCTTATATCCCAGAATATCAAGGCAGAAAGTCCCGCAATATCAGCTTTGAACTGGATTATCTGAGTCCACACTCAGATAATGTGGGATTTTCTGCCTTGAAATGCTGAGATATAGGGCTGAGTGGAAGGGCCCTCAGTGTGGATTCAGATAACCCAATTCAAAGCAGATATTGTAGGATTTTCTGCCTTGATATTCTGGGATATAGGACTGTGAGGAAGGGCCCTAAGATACATACTAGATATTGAGAAGGAGTGTATATTTTAAAATTATTCTTTTCATACAAGTGAGGGATTGTTCTTTTCATGTAAGACACTTCCAAAAAGCAAATGTCCCAGATAAAAAAGCACCATTTTAGGAAAATAGCTAGAAAGAGAGGGATATGTTTCCCCTGCTCCATGAGTCTCTGTGGGTTGGATGCAGGCAGTGGCCAATGAAGTTACTCTGCGATCACTCTCTGGCCCTTTTCCAGGATGCCAACACCATCTTTCACCACCCTTGAATGGGCAGAAGGTGAGAATAGAAGCATCTAGGATGTGTGTTTTTCATAGATGCCTTGTGTAAGTGCTCTCTTATCTCCCCCTTTTTCTTTCCCGCCATCAGGGCTCCTTGAGAAGGACAGTGGCAGGAAGTGGGGAAAAGATGTAGGATGGCCAGCAAAAGACGGATCTTGCTGGGGTACGTCACGTCCCCACTGTTAAAGGCAAATTCCTCATCTTTCCTCCCCTTCCCTCCTGCCTGTGGGATAATGTCACAAGGTGTTCTACAACCTCAGGGCAGTACAATCCACAATAAAGTTGTCCTGTACAAACTCCACATAAACATATCTGTGCTGCACAAGAATATCTGCCTCATTCATTTCTATAGGACTGGAATCCTTCATGTTGGATTGTGTCCTGGCCTACTATAATTGAACTGCATTCTAAGGATACTTTGTTACATTGCAGTATGTTCCTTTCAATTAAGATTGTCCACCCCTCATTGCTCATAGCTAAAAAAAGTTCCTTCCTGATATGTGTGAAAGGCTAAACACTGCAAGGAAGAATGAGCTTTTTTGTAAAGAATGGTTAATCAGAACGATCTCAAAACCAGCAGCCTTGTTTTCTTTTTCATGTCTCACCCCACCCTCGTCTCCCAGGTTCGTCTCTCTGCTTATATTGTCAGTACTACAAATGGTTCAGTTTAGATCCTCTTTTGCATTTGACCAGAAATAGAGTTCCGTGAAGATTCCATTGAGTCTATAGATTTGGTTCTTGCACTACTTCAAGCTTCCCATGAAGTTCTCCATACAATTCCATTAAAAATACATATTGCAGGATGAAATATGTAATTTTGCAAGAGGTAAGATTACTTTACTTGCTGTTTCCAGAAGAACTGCAGACTATGTGAAAATTGGATGGATTGAACTAATGAATTAATGTATGTGAAACTATCATGTATTGGAAACATATCAAGGCATCCATCTCTAACCAACAATGCATGGGTTACATTCCATCATATTAGTACTATTAAGTTTTGTGCACTACTGATTGGCATCTCATTTGGACTGGGTGGCACACTCTTACAGTAAATACAGTCCAGTTGTTACCAACTAGCTCCATTCATCTGGCTGTGGAAAAATGATAAAGGAAAGGAGAAGGAGTTTCCACACCCAGCCTTTCCTTTTCTAAAAAGCATTTCAGTGTGCCGAGCCTGATAAAGTGAAGATCCTGTTTGGCGGCCACTCTGCTTTGCCCAGCTGTGGCCATCTCGGGAAGAAAGTGCATGGGAATAAGGGAGGGTCTGGCAGTGCTGTATATAAAGCACCTGAGCTTGAAAAGGTGAGGCCAGAAAGTGTCAGCCGCAGCACTGCCCATTTGGAGCAGAGAGGGGAGGAGGAGAGCTCTGGGGGGAAAGAGGCTCTCTACTCTGGGTGGTGGTCACCATGCATTGGACACTACTGGTTCTCCTCTGCAGCATCCTTCATAGCTCTGGTAAGTGTCAAAGCAAGTCTGCTACAGAGAGATGTCAGTGGTTTTTGCCAGCTTTTTGCGGTTATTTCCAACAAGGTGTTAAAGCACTAGAAGGTGGACAGGAATTGGAGGTTGCAGTGTCAATGCTTTTCAAGATTCAGTTAATTGGTGTTTGTAACTGCTGGCTGGAATGACAGATATTATTTCCCAAAGAGGGAGGGAGGGAGGAAGAGCACTTATTACTATAGTACAACCCCCATTTCTTTGAGGAGACATTCCAAGTCTCTGCGTAGATACCTGAAAATATGGCTAGAATGACAAATATTATTCGCAAAGAGAGAAAACAGGAGGGAGATTACTACTATAGTATGACACACACACCCCGTCCATGTAGAAAACATTCCATGTTCCCCTGTGGATAGCTGAAACCATGGGCCTTCTCTTTTGACTACACCTGGGCCAGAAGCATACCACAGCATAACACTAGAGGGGATCTAGAGAGGCCTACTAACACTTCTTTGAGGCAGGGGTATTTTTGAAAGTATGGGTAAATGGTATGATCTTTCTGTCAACATTTGCACTTTGCAATCTTGTTGGAGATATGCATGTCGTGGAAGAAACATGATTTTAGCTACTACAATGCAACCTGAGCCCTGAAACATGCACAATAGAGGACCTTCTCACAGCGACACCAGAGGCACTCTAAGTGGCCAGTTTGTGGTCAAAGGACATTTAGCATAATGCCAAGTTATTAACTTTGTGTTTTTGAATACACTATAATTTTACCCTCAATTTGTTTCTGACATTATAGATAAATAAATAAATAAATGCCATTGTTTGGTGTTTATGCCTCATATGTCCAGTGACATATAGAATTTACAGGACAGCATAGTAGCATACCTGTGCACTAGGGTGGAGGAGAAGAAACAGGGATTCTAGTGGCAGGTCTCCTCCATATCACGCTAAATATGTTTGTATGAACCTCTTGGGGTTGTACATTTTTCTTAAAATGTTTTTGTCTAAGACTGTCTACTGCATTGTTAAAGTATAATTCCATGAATGAAATGTGCTTTTGAAGGAAACAAGCTTTATCATAATGAAGCAATCCAAAAATCCAGTTAGTTCCATATTTCAAGTAGGCAGATTCTTATATAAGTTGAGCATGAAGCATCATGTGGAAATGATGGCTGAGTTCTTTGTTCTCAAAATTACAGTTATGCTGTTTCTGAACAGAGACATTTTATTCATCTTTAACAGCTATTAATCTTTGAGATACCAAGTTATTAAGTATTCTGATTTCCAAACCTATGTCTCATATTCTACCTTTTATGTTTTTTGTAAACAAATACTCTTCTTATTTCTCAGATCAGAGCCATTTTGATATTTCAGACAACTTATCAGGTAAATCACTGGAATATATATTATTCTTTCCATATGCCAAACGTATAAACTACATTGTTTAACAGACTTTCATGTGCTTCATTTTAATGTCCTTGCAGTCCAAAGTTTCTTATTTATTCTTTTTTCCCACTCATAATTATTTGCCGGTACAATTGGTCCTAAAGCTGCCAAAAACATTTCAAGCACAGAGCTTCAGGTTTTAATTTTGAAAAATAAGTCATTGATTTGACTTGGCCTACTAAATTGATTGTCTACTGCAGCTAATGGCCCATTTGACAATAACCACAATAGAGAACATATTCTCAAAAGATGAATTTACAGACTCGATCTGTGAACATATGTGCATAATTACGGTTCCCATTTAAACTTCACAGGCTAATTTGTAATCCTGTTAATAGCACAATCCTATGCATCTGTACTCAGAGGCAAATCCCACTGAGTTAAAAAAAACTGCTGTTGGGTACATATTAACAAAACTGGCAACAGGAGGCAATCTTTCTTAGAAGGTAGCCCCATTGGACCCAATGGATCTTCTGTGTGTGTGTGTGTGTGTGTGTGTTTGTGTGTGTGTGTGTGATCAAACTTTAATATGTGGTAAATAAATACCATGGCAAAAATCTAGCTCCAGAGTCAATACAGTGGGGGTTGCTTTGAAAGGTATTAAGGAATAAATACCTGTTCTGCAGTAAGTGTTAGTTCCATAAAAAGTTACTCCAAAACTGTATAAAGAAAGGCAATGAGTCCTAGAACACCCATCCTATATGTTTGTTAGTGTCTTCTTTGAGGAAGGGAACAATATATGCCGGTCTTTAAAGTTTGCAATAAATAGGAATACATTACTTATTTATTTATTTATTTATTTATTTCAAGACTTTGTACCCCATCCTTCTCATCCCTGGAGAGGACTCAGGGCCAAATACATTAAGTTGAGCTAAGAATTTAAGATTTTGTCAATTCTTAAGGTTAGATATGAAAACTATGCATGTGCAAATATACACCTTTATATGTTAAGGATGAATTATCTATGAAATAAAATCATCACGTCCCCTCAGCTTAGATTGGGGAGATCATGATAATGGGGCAAAAACAGGGTATGATAAGACATTGGTGACTTTTTTTTTCATGTCAGGAGTGACTTGAGAAACTGCAAATCACTTCTGGTATGTAGCAGTACAGAGTTTTCTGGCCATGCTCTGGGACATACACTCAGTTCATATGTGGAAGACTGGGGCCCCACCATCACCCTCTGTGAACTAAGACAATGTCCAAGAACACACCCAACTTCCTCTTGTGGGGATATATTGCAAGGAAAGGTCACCTCCATTCAGTCTTAAGATTATTCATAATGATTGCCTGTTGAAGCATAATTAGTGAAGCTTTACTTACTGAAAACATAGAAACGATATTAAGCCAGTGTTGCAGATCAATATAACTTTGGTGCGAGAGTTAAATCTGGGCAAGATATATACATTTGAGTAAAGGAACCAGGTTGCACATGTTAGTCCTGTCATCTCAGTCTTGTTGAAGAAGAGATGGTTCAACCCATTCTTGCTTAAACACAAGTAGGATTCTCCATGAAGTATGGGGCCTTATAACAGGGATCCTACTTGTATGAATAATTCTAATCATATTCAAGCAGAGTCTGCAGTTCGATGACAAGATCTACTTATGATCAAGAAAATGTTCTCATTCTTAACAAGAAATGGTGTCTCAGCAAGTGAGAACCAAGTAAGGAAACAATCAATCCCTGCAAGATTTCTCACACTTTGAGACTTATTTGTGAAAAAAAGTTGGGGAGAAACCTTAGCCTTGTGAAAATATATTTTTGAACACAAAACAGTTGGGTTTTGTGAAAAAACTAAGGAGGGTTTTTTTCCCTTTACACAGACACATTTTTAAAGGGTCTTGAAGTGTGGACAAAGGATCAAAAATTGACAAGAATTCTTTCCCAGCAGGGAAAAAATATTTTTCTATTAATGGTTCTTTGGAGACCTCATTAATCTTTAGTTGAAGTGAGAATTTGCATGAAAGGAGGATAAAGACAAGAACTAACTACTAGTCCTTAGGAAAGCACACCCTCTTCTCAGAAAAAGCTAGTTATAATTCAAGGCTCCAGTTTTCCATTCTTTTTTCAAAAGGTTTAATTTCCTTTGAAGAGAACTGTGGTATTACACAATGTCATTGCTGCTGCAAAATCTCTTAATGCTACTAGGGAAGAATGGAATGGGATTAATGGGAGTGGAAGTAGCTACACAAGCTTAGATACATTTACTTCCATCCCAAGGGCATGGACAGAGACTGAGAAGGTGTATTTTAAAACTGTGT